ATATTGCCAATCTTTTCTAAATTGTTACAAAGTATGTTGCACTGATTTGATTGAGTTGTATTCTTTCGTTAAAATAATTAAAACGTTAAATAAATAATTCATTATAAGCCGCAAGTATGCGTAACACAATTATATTGCTGACTGTTATGACTATTACCTATTACTATGTAATTGTGATTGTTTGTATATACAGATATTTTTATTTTTATAGAATATGACTGTATGGTGTCGAAAAAAGTCTATATTTCTAATTACCTAATCTAAACAAAGCAGCATTTTCATTATTACAAAATCAATTATTAGTAAAATTAATTCTAAAGTTTGATCAAAAAGATTTTTATTGTAAAAAATTAAAGTTGTTCTATATAAATAGATCCGCAGATCTCAAGTGTACACACATATTAATATACTGGAAATAACGTACAATAGTTTCTAAATTTGTTTAACACTCTGAATTCATATGAGAGTCACGTGTATTCAATAATTAAAGTTTGTTATAGGTTGTTGTTGCACTTTTTAACTTTTAAATTTATATTTTTTAAAATGTCAGAGATTTCCAACAATACCAATATTGACAAAGGAGAAGTAGAAAACGGTGATAATAATGCGTCTGGCAGGATTAATTTAGATCAAGAAGAAATACCATTTAATTTTAAACAATTTCAAGAACAAATAAGGCATCAAAGTGCTTTAAAAATAACCAAATATGTGAAAAAGTATTTATTTATTAATTAATAATGTTACTACATGTATTATTATTATATATATTTATATTTATATAAATTTATTTGACTATTTGATTAGTTTCGAAATTGAATTTGAAAGACATCCTCGAACAATAAATGAACAAATCAAATTTGTACGCGATTTCCTAGATGTACGTTATTCAACATAATTATTTGAATTTATTTTATTGGTGAATTTATTTATAAATGAATTTACATTTAATTTTTTTTTTAATAATAATAATAATAATAATACTATAGTTTATAAATAGAAAAATGCATGAATGTGAAATATGGAAAGATGTATCTGAAAAAGAATTTGAGAATGCAAAAGAAGGAATGGAAAAATTATTGATGATGAGATTATATAAATTGTAAGATCAGATATTAATAAAATTATGATAGTATTATTATTAATAACACTATCGCTATTATAAATTATTATATAGAATATTTACACCAGCTATTAAAGGGCAAGCTGTGACAGATGATTTAGAAAGAGATGAAATTTTACATCAAAAAATTCAAATATTTAGATGGGTGGGCGAAAAACATTTAGACATTCCAATCACTCCTCACAATGAAATATTTCTAAATCATGCTAAAAATGGTAAAATAAACTTATTAGGGAATTAGATCTCGATTAATAGGTTATTTAATCAAATTATTTAATTAATTAATTATTAGAATTATTAAAGATGCGTCAATTCATAGCACCAAGAGATAAACTAATATGTATACTCAATTGCTGTAAAGTAATATATGGTAAGCGAAACACTATTTGAATTTGTTACAACATGTAAACAGATTAAATTAACTTATGTAATAACAGGATTAATAAAGTTTGTGGATGGTGAAGAAGGTGCGGATAAATTTTTACCGATACTTATTTTTGTAATATTAAAAGCAAACCCAGAACACTTAATGTCAAATGTTCAGTAAGTTGAAACTATTATTATTATTATTATGTCACTATAATAGAAAATATATTAACAAAGATAAATAATTATTATATATTAGATATATTTATAGATTCAGAAATCCAGAGAAATTACAATCAGAAGCTGGTTATTATTTATCTAGTTTAGTAAGTAAGATTAAATGTCTCATATTCATATCCTTATATATGTGTGTATGCGATTTTTCATTTATATTAATTACTTTTTATTAGATGAGTGCAGTTGCTTTTATTGAAAATATGGACGTTAATTCATTAACCATAACACAAGATGAATTTGATAGGTAAATGATGTTGATTTATAACTTTCATATAATTTAACATGACAAAAATAATAATTTTTAATATTATAATAATGATTATACGACAAATTAGTAATATTGAATTAACAGTGAGAGAACTCGCAGAAGAAACACCAAAATTACCAGAAAACACCAAAGAAATAAGTTATGATAATGCTATAAATCCATCCAAGCCTATCGTTGCCAATAACAACAACAATAGACTTTCATTAATAAATCCAGCACAATTACTAAATCCAGCACAAGCAAAAGCATTATTCGAGAAGGGGAGTTATTATGCTCAGAGAACCATCCAAACGCCTATAAATATGGTAGGAAAATTATTTTCAGAGATTAACACTGGAGTAGATAATAATAATGATGGCACTATTGTTAATGACAATAATGGTAGTAGTAATAGTAGTAACAATGATGACGTTAATTCTATTGAGAAATCTGACGATTCAGGAGAAAAAAAAAACCCCCTACTAGACAATGATGACGAGGAAACTAATTTACAACAAATAGAAATATCTTCATTAATAGACGAATCATCATCTTCATTATCATCATCGTCACCACCACAAAATGACACTAACACTAACAATTATATACATCTACAACAAGAACAATTAATGCAACAACTAAAATTAAAACGGCAACGGGAACTAGAAGAAGAGGATAATAATTTAGTAGACGAACTTATTGCACGTTCAACAGAAAAAGAAATGAAAGAATCTTTAAAGCTACTTAAATCAATTTTTAGTGATTTAGAGCCGGAGCTTTGTGAAGAAGTATATTATGCTAAAGATTATAATATGAATTCAGCAGCAAATCAATTGTTGGAGATTTCAAATTCATCTATCATCATTGAAAATGAATATGGAAATGATGATGCAGTTCATTTCATAGGCATGAATCATGAACCTCTAAATCATGCATAATATAATTTTAATCTTTGTATAAACCATTTTGATAGAACATTATTTATTTATATTTATTTTATTATTACGCTTAGAAATCTGTTAATTATTATTATTATTATTAATAATTTGGACATTTTTTTAAATATAGAATTTTTAAATTTAATTTATTTTTCATTCATACATACATATATATATATAATCTTATAATCTTAATTCCTTCTTGCTAATAAAACTCAATATAATCATAGTAATATTACAAAATGTTTTATTTCACCAAAAATCCCAGCTATTCAATTGAAAAGGTGTTTGTTATAGTAACGCCAGAATTTTTGATTGGCTGATAATTTTTTAAAGATCCGGAAACTAGCATAGATGGTTATCGTAAAATTTTCGAAATTTACTATTACTATTCGGCTAAACGCTTTTTATATTAAGTTGGCAATAACTCTTTAATCTTTAACAATAATTTTGTTCAAAATATAGGTAACAAATTTTCTAACATTTTGAGTAATTGAATACTCGTTTTTAAAACAATTCCTTGGGAAACATTCTTTTCTAATTCCAGTAATTGATTTTAATAAAACTCCAACTATACAAATTGATCCGCCATCAAAATAAAACCAGACTAAAAAATTCATAAACCAGTGTTTATTGCGTAACTCAAATGAAACACTTGGGCTAACTAAACTATTTAGTCAAGTCAAAAAGATCATTACTAAATTAGGATTTTAACCCGTTATGCTGGTTGAGAAAACCGCTGGAACTGTGCTACGTTACATTCATCACACGACCATTTTCAAAATTAGGTTTGTTTTACTGGTGGTGCGTCCCAATGATAATAATTATAAGCTTAGTCTTATTTGATTGGAATGTTACATCTGTATAAAATTGTTTAGTAACGATACAACATTAATCCGCTCGTGATATTCAACGTCTTGTTAATTTTTAATATACATTATTTATATTATTTGTATCAAGCTTTACCTTAATAATTATAGTAGCAAAAAAAAAGTAAATGATCATTGCCGAATCCGTGAAATTCATGTAATTTGAAAAAACAAGCTTAATATTAATTCGTATATTATTTAATTATTATGACATCACTGAGCATTATTATACTATCCCATCGAATATTTATGTTGGTGGTACAATCTTGAGCCAATTTTAAAAATCAAAATCAATCGAGAAAAGTATTATCAGAATTATATGAAATGGCACCAGTCACAATTCATAGAGTAGTGGTCGTTACGCTTTTTCTTCCTCAAACTGTATCATTTCAGGTTGCAAATGACAAATTGTCAAAACCTGTTGATTTAAACCTTATTGTTCCAAAACCTAACCTCATTGAAGGTTTGGCTGCCAAACATCTTAACCTGCCACCAACTCCTACTCCACGTGAAGAAGATCCAATAGACAAACTTTTTTCTCCAAAACCTGATCAACTAAATCCTTTAGCTCAAAAACCTCCTAGACCTCCTTTGACTCAACCTCGTAGTCGGGCTCAACGTCAAGACTCGGGAAGTAAAAATCAACAAGATCAAAGGGATTTTTCCGTCCTTAAGCCCAGAAGACGTCGGTCACTTAGTAATAGTCGAATATTTGCTGAGGCTCCTTGGACTTTTGAGCCAGGTCCACAAGGAAACATTGGTTTGCAAAATGCTATAAAAACGATTGAAAATAATTTGGTGAAACGTATTTGGGTTGGTACATTGGGTATGCCAACTGATGCTCTCACTGTGCGAACACGTGAAGAAATTAAGCAGAAATTACTGCAAGAACATGATTCAGTTCTTGTGTTAGTTGAAGATCATGAATTTGAAGGACATTATAATCAATTTTGTAAACAAGTATGTTTCAAAAAAAAGATAAATCGGATTTATATATATATATATATACATGCATGTATTCACTCTTAATTATATAGGTTCTTTGGCCCACTTTTCATTATGTGTTACCAGATAATCCAAAAAGTAAAGGATTGGATGAACAAGATAATTCTTGGAAACATTATGTTGCTCTTAATCAAAAATTTGCAGATTCAATTGTTGAAATTTATGAACATGGAGATATTAGTAAGTTGATAGATTAGGTGAACTATATGTATTATTTCATTGGCTATTTATTAATCATATTTGTTATTAGTTTGGGTAAATGATTATCATTTATTATTGGTTCCTGCAATGGTTCGTAAAAGACTTCCTAATGCAATGATCGGTTTCTTTCTTCATATACCCTTTCCAAGTTCTGAAGTATTTAAATGTTTACCTGGTATGTTACTTAATAATAATGTTATAGTATTTCAGTAATTGGGAATTTAAAAATATGACTAACTAATCAATCCATTTGAAAATATTTTACGAAAAGTACGTAAAGAAATTTTAGAAGGTGTTTTGGATTCTGATCTTATTGGGTTTCAGGTATATTATTGAGTCATGTATTATATATATGTGCATTATGTATGCATAAAAATAATATATATTATTTATTTTAGACAGAATCTTTTTCACGTCATTTTCGAAATACATGCTCCCACTTGTTGTCATTAGAAACCACGCCACGAGGAATTCAACTTGAAAATAATTTTGTATCAATTGGCCTTTTCCCTATAGGTATGTATACATATATTCCTGAAATAATGGGAATAGAATAACTTAAAAAATAATTATTTTATAGGGATTGATGTAGAAAGTTTAAATGAAAAAAGGTTTGTTGAAACAAAAAAAAAAGTCATTTTTAATTTTATAAAAAAAAATAATAATGAATAATAATGATTTTTTTTTTGTATTTGTGTAATCAGAAAAAACTCTGAAGTTATTGAATGGTGTAAAGTTCTTAAAGAAAAATACCATGGCAAAAAATTGGTTGTTGCTCGTGATAAACTTGATTATGTTAAAGGTGTTCGACAAAAGATGCTAGCTTTTGAAAGATTTCTTACAATACATACCGAATGGCAAGAAAAGGTAGTTTAATTAATATAAATTAAAAAATCTTATATAAAAATGTTATTGTAATATTTATTTAAACAATGATATATATATATTCGTCATATTAATTACAGGCTGTCCTGATTCAAGTAGCAACTTCCACTACTGAACAAAATGAATTACAAAGCCAAGTTTCCGATGTAGTCTCTCGAATAAATTCAAAATTCAGTAATTTAGCCTATCAGCCAGTTGTATATCTTCATAAAGATATCACTTATAGCCAATACCTTGCACTTCTTACAGCTGCTGATGCATGTCTCATAACTTCATTACGTGATGGTATGAATTTAACATCACATGAATATATTGTCTGTCAAGAAGAAAGGCATCGTCCATTGATTATCAGCGAGGTATTTTATTTTATTCTTTTATTATTTTGCCAATTAAGCTAAGCTAATTAATTAGCTAACAAATGTACTCATTTATTTAGTTTGCTGGAACATTTGATTACTTTAGTAAAGCTATTCGGATTAACCCTTGGGATTATCGAGTATCTATGATAAAATTTATTATAATTCTGCTGCTAGTTTACATCTATTTATATATGTGTGTGTGTGTGAATATATTTAATATTGATTAATAGTTTTTCTATACCCCGAATTGAAAGGAATGTGCTGAAGCTATTCATGAAGCATTGACAATTTCTGAATCAAATGCTGATGCTAAATGGAAGGTTAGATTTATTTATTTTTAAAAATAATAATAATAATAATAATAATAATCATAATCATAATAATAATAATAATAATAGTAATAAACGAAAAGAAATATTGTATATGTGTATATTATTAATATTTTTAGGCTCTATATTCACATGTTACAACGAATAATTCTCAACATTGGGCCGAAAGTTTTATAACTGAATTGGAAAAGGTGCATAGTGATATGCAAAGAAGATATTCAATTCACATTCCTCATTTAGTTCCTAGATCCTTTTCAAATGAATTTGCTACAGCAAAAAAAAGATTGTAGGTTAATTCATTATTATTGTTATTATTATTATTATTATTATTATTATTATTACTTGAAATAAACATTTCGTCAAATGGCAAACATATAGGTTTTTATTGGATTATGATGGTACAATTGCAGCATACGAAAGATCACCGCCACAAGTATCGCCCTCAACACCATCCGCTAAACTCATTGAAGTTTTAACAAAACTTACAAGTAATCCACGTAACTATGTTTATATAATGAGCGGAAGGACAGTAAAGAGATTAGAGGAAGATTTAGGTTCAATACCTAATTTGGGTCTGAGGTATTAATAAAATCATTATAAGTGTAGTTATTTTTATTATGTTTATTAAATTATAATTCAAATTTCTTTTAATAGTGCAGAGAATGGAGCTTTTTTGAAATTAATTGGTGATAGACGTAAATGGGAAGAATTGTTCTCTGATATAGATATGAGTTGGAAAGAACAAGTTAATGAGGTGAGAAAAAAACAAGAGCTTCATTATATATTTTTGAATTTTTTGAAACTAATTAATTTATCATTAATTAATCAAATTTGATAATAATAATGATATTATTATTGCCATTTAAGATTTTTGAGTATTATCATGAAAGAACTCCTGGTACACTTATCGAACAAAAGGAAGTTTCATTGGTTTGGGTAATGAATAAATAACCTTTCGTTTATTATGATCAATTTTAATACAATTACTCATTTTCACTTACATATATATGTTTATTATTATTGGATTCAATAAAAATAGCATTATAGAAATGTTGATAATTTATCATATGGGTAAAAAAACAATCAAATATATATAAAATTTAAAATAAAATTGATTAATATTTTTTTTCATTAATCTTTTATTTTTTAAAAAAAAGTTCATGGCAAGCAGCTGAATGTCAAAATCATATTCAAGTTTCTTTAGGCTTAATATATATGATTCATGCTATCGCAGGAAATAAAACTATAGAGGTTTAATTAATTCTTATTTTATATTTAAACACATACATATTACTTATTACAAATATATATTTTTGGGATTGTATAATAGGTTATGCCAAAAGATGTTAATAAGGGTGTTGCCATAGCGCGTATTCTTGAAAATTTAACGCCAGATTTCATTTTGTGTATAGGAGATGACAGAACAGATGAAGATATGTTTGATTATTTAAATAGATTAACAAACATTAAAACAGTGATAACATGTACAGTAGGATCTAAAAGTACCGAAGCAAACTTCTTTATTGGTGGCGTGTCAAGGTAACGAATTATATGATGAATGTAACAATCAATATTTAATGATAATCATATGATGATGAAATTCATTCAATTATCAATTTTAATAGTGTATTGAGTTGTTTAGAAATGTTGACTACGGAAGAATTTAATATTATTTAGTGCGAGAAGAAGATTTGTTTTATTATTTAATATCACTATTACTTTATTAATTTATTTGCTGGATTGATTTCAATAAAAAACGCAATTATCATTTTGAAAATTTATCACTTTTTTTGTAAAGTTATCAGATTAAACATTATTTACTATAATAATAACAATAATGTACGCCGACCGGATATTTAATATTAATTTGGATATCCGAATACTTGTTATTATCCGTAAATTATGGTACTCGTACACTAATACCAACTGTTCATATTATTTCCGTATATAATAATAATCTCCGCATGTAGTTCAGGATGACTAATACTAAAGAATTAAAAATAGATAATTCTCACGGATTTTATACATATTTGAACCATAGTAATTTAAAAAGAATTATTATATTATGAATGTCCATAATTTACATAGATAATCTCTTAAATTTCATTACTGAGTTACATGAATTGAGATTTTCTTATAAAAAGCCAATTATTTAAATTTACCCCGATCAATAATTACATTCATAAATAAAACTCTATTCTCGCAAATAACCCCCCCCCCCATATTCACTAATAAAACTCTTATCTTCACAAAGAAATCATGAATTTGGTTTTTGCATTCATTTTATTGGCAACGCTTTACATGGTCAATGCTATTCCACCACAACAACTTCTTAAAAAAACTTCTACTACCTTTGTATCATGTCCTGTATTTGAAGGAGCACCACCACCTACACTCACCGTAACACTTTCACCTGATCCTATCGTTGCTGGAACAGCTGATGTTTTTACCGTTTCTGGAACACTGAATTATGATATCACCGCAAGTGACGAGCTTGTTATTTCATTTTCAGATCCACTAGCTAATACTGTCATAAATACCACTGCTGTAGCGCTTTGTGATGGAAGTAATTGTCCAATTAAAGCTGGAATCCCATTTACTCAAACAGTGCAAGTTTCAGTACCAGCGAAGTTACCTAGTCCATATGCTGCTATAGTTGCTGTTGTTGACCCAGTTTCTAACGGTATGATAGGCTGTGCAGTTGCTTTTGTTTGGTTGTGATGCTTACATCTAAGGATGTAGCCTTTCTCCCAGAACTCGTTTTTTAAATTATAGTTAGAAATAATAAAAATCAAATAGAATAATTTAATTTTTTATTAACGTTAATTATTATTCAGCCTATCCATAAATTTTATTGTTTTATATTGTTATTATTAGTCATTATATTTTTATGTGGTAAATTCATAGTATTAGTAATTTATGGGTTTATCCACGATTTTGTAAATAAAAAAAAAATTTTTGTTTCTTGAATCGAAAAAAATTCTTTTTTTGTTTAATTGTAAAGCGTTTCTTTGAGAGGAGAATTGACACTTTTTTGTTAATTGTAAATAAAAAAAAATTGTTTCTTGGAAAGAAAGAGAATTGAAATTTGATTTTTTGTTTAATTGTAAAAGGAAAGGGAATCAAAAAAATTTTTTTGTTATCTCCTTGAAAAAACTCACATGTATTAATAATAATTCAAAGAAAAGAAATTTGATTTGTTAAAGAAATATTTGCGTCGTGAATTGCTGTCAAATCTATGATTGATGTCGCAATATTCAATAATTGCACCTGACGCAATTCAATAATTTTGACTATTATGTTTTACAATTCCCTATTACTATTGATCTGCGTGACATGTCCTGCGACTAATAGTATTTAAAATTTTTTATTCACTACTATAATGCTATTACTATTAATAATCTCGGTGATTGCATATTGTCGAAAAAGGTGAAAAAATAAGGTCATATTGGGATAAGAAGCAATTGATTATTGTAAAAAAGAAGTGGACATTGGGACTCAAAAAAGAAAATACGGAATTTGGGAGAATCAGGCATTGAAAACTTCATTTATAAGACATAATTTTGGTCATTTTCATTATAAAGATTGTGATTAATAATACGATAATGAATTTTCTTTTATATTTTTATGGTTGGATAAATTATTGAAGTTATTGGATGAAACCATACAATTTCTTCCTGTCAAAGGTGGATATAGATTGTTAATAGTATTAGTATTACAGTGAAATGTATTTTCGAACGAAAAATAAAATTATTATATTAACAATTTGACAATTCTTCTTGTTAATACCCAAGTAAACAAGCAAAGAAAATCAAGTCTTTACGTTTATAAAAAGTAAATAAATCCATTCTTGAATTTCTATTTTTATTCTTTCCACGCCTACGCAGAATACCCCTCGTTATCCTTTGTGACAAAAAGTCATCTATTAAAGTTGTATTCGTCGTTAAATGTTGGTCTTGGTTAGCAGTTGTTGTGCTGATAGAGATTCCCACCCAAAAAATTGATGAACACCCTCTCTTCTTGTGCAAAGGCTGCTGTTCATATGCTAAGCTATCCAGCTAGATTAATTTAAAAAGTGACTTTTGGAAATTTTTTTACATGGGAACCAGATCTTTTCTTTTCTATTTTTAATTAATTATAGATAATAGCAAATTAGCATATTATTAAGAAATTCAGTGATTATTTCACCTAACAATTTTAATCGATAATCATGTTGTAATTTATTGACAAAGCTAAAAATAACGACGAAATCAATCTTCCATGTAAATCCTACAAAGAGATTGCCTTGTCTCTCCATTGGTATGAAAATCATGCACATAGAAGGCCTTGGAAAGCTCTTCAAATAAGAGGAGCCAGATGCAATTCAATGAAATATGCAGTCCCTCACACCACCACAAAATTTTCCATTGCATCGCATCATTCAGCAGAAAAGGTCTGATTAAGCATTTTTTTAGGGAAATATAGTTAATTATGTGTTATAGAAAGGATACAAGTGCTGATTGTGGAAGAAAAAAAGTTGAACTGATGAAGAGGCAACTTTTTTTTTCTGTTATTATTATCCAAATAGTTGGTGAGGACATCTTCCTAATTGAATGTATGCATAAATTGGTTGAAATATTAATATTAATCAGACGCACGCGTCTTATTATTATTATGAAGTTGTAAAACAATATGGGAATTTATCATCATTAGAAAAAAATCAAATACTGTATACTATATAGAGAATTGTAAATTTTATTAATTTGCTAATTTTGATAATTATTAATTTTCTTGCCACTTTCAGGGATTTCCTCGCAAAACAGTCGTTCATAAATTATTAATTAGGTCAATTACAAAGTCGTATTTCCAGGTCAATCTCATCTGACCACGTTAAACCTGACATTTTTTAATTTTTAAAAAATTAATAAAAAGTAAACAAAATCTGTAGAAAATTTAAAAACATGAAATTTTATATATACAATAAAGTTTTTATCTAATACTAAGTATAAACACTTTCTATTTTACTATATATTAAAAAAAGGGAACTACAATAATCAGTAGTAAAAAGAAACACTAAAATTTTACAACAACAAAATAATAATCACAATAAAAGATAAAACAAGGTCATCATCCATTTAATGAGATGCTTATAATATTTTCCAAGAAATTATTATTGTGATTTTTTTCATTTTGTCCATCATTATTGATTCTTTCATTTCGGCATCGAATTTTGCGTCTCCTCGATTATTCCATCTTTTGATTTTCATTCAATGATAGCCCTTTACCCATTTGACTTTCACCCATTATAAAATCTATATAGTTACGCAGTTCATATTGAGTTGATGTTATTGAAGTAGCCAGAAAGTTATAAGGTGCTGGTTCCTCCTTTGTAAAGAAGGACATATTTCTTGTTAAAGAGAGAACCAGTATAAATATGCATGCTTTGGCGAAGTAAAAATCGATTGGCCATTTTTGCACAATAAATAGTGTTTGCAGAATATTCGGGAGATAAAACCATCCAGGAATAAATAATATATTAACAATCTTCCAATCAACTACTTGTTCCAATTTCTTAAAACCACCATATCCACATTCACCGAGACAACTTAGTATAAAAGCAATGAGTGCTGTGGCTGACAATATCACAAATAATGTGAGGAATACTATACTAATTGAATCAAAAAGATGTCTGGTTGTAATAACCACTGTCCAGAATGTTGTGATGACTACAGCTGGGAATAATATTAAGAGAGTATTGATAACAATAAAAAATGCACTTACACTTTTTTTAACTATTTTATTCTGAATTATCGCGGCTACTGCGCAAGTTACATGCAAAGCCATGTTTACAAATGAAAATATCTTTATACTCTGCAAATCATCATAGGAAAAAGAAACTATCAGCGGAATCACCCAAGTGACTGTGTTGTATAGTATGTCATCCAGCAATGGCAACAGCACTCTTTTGATGGGCCCAGTTTTCCCCGAAACATTCAACAGAATGACAAAAACGACAAAAAAGACTGTGTTAACAATTGCATCATACAGCTGTTCGGGTTTATATTCTTCATCGACAATGAATGCATTCGCAAACGGAAAGAGTGAAAAAAAAGAGATTTTCCTCAAGACAAATTTCAAGGAACCTGATTTAACTTGATTTTGTTGAATAGCTCCTTTGGAGAGAAAACAATTGTTCATATTGAATAATAGGAAAATTTTTATCGTCCATAGGACTTATTTTATTGGTATTTATAAACAATGTGTTCAGCCAATGCATGTCTTTAGATGTTATTTGTTATTGGTTACTTTACTTAGTGCTAGAGTCGCACAAATGCAATTCTATTTGCTTTGCTAATATAATGCGTGTGAGAAAAATGATTTCGTAATATTACGTAAATTAGTGCACGAGTATTTGTCATGCATGATAAGAAAAAAAAAAGATTTCATTAATATTAATTATTATTATTGTTTATTATTATTATTATTGTTGTTGCTGTTGTTGCACAAGTATTCGTTTATTAGAAATAATAAAATATTAATATAATAATAGTTTTAGAGCAATCGTCATTGTAAGATATCGTATCAACGTCAATGTTTAATTAATTAGTCCTTTGAATCTTCGATACCACCTGTACCAATTGCAAATGTTGCTTCAGCTTCTGGAAGACATGGCGAATCATAAATTTTACATATACGATTTTCTCTGCTACCTTTACGAAGATAAAGTCTACAAATTACAAATTATTAAAACTTTAGAGATATTTTATATATATAACAAACACAATTATTTACATTCAATGTAACGATCTGGGTATACCTTGTGGTTGAAGTGTGTGCAATGATATTTCCACCGATCGGTTTCTTCGTATCACCACTAAACATTCCCATATTACCATCAACAGTAGCAACAACTTGATTAGTGATAATTACCGCCACACCGAACTATATGATAATAAATTTATAATTTATATTATAAACATAAACAAACTAATATATCATAACCAACTATTCACTCATTCACCTCGTCTGCTAAACGTTGAAGTGAACGCAAGAATTTTGCTAAATGCATTTGACGTGCAGCCAATTCACCTCTACCAGAATAATCTGTTCTATATAAAGATGTCACACTATCAACTATCAGTAAAGCAAATCTATTTATTAATTAATGCATTTATTATTAATACATTCATTCATGCATTTATTATCAACAATTAATTAATAAATACATAACTCAAAGACTTGGTAAAACATGAAATATTTATTACCTCGATTCAGCCATCATTGCAGCAGCACTAATTAATAGATCGAATTGATGATCTGTGTTGTATGCTCTTGCTACTGCCACATTATCTAATGCTTCGTCACCATTAAGTTCAAACCTTTCTGCAATAGAAATCAATCTTTCAGGCCGAAATGTGTTCTCGGTATCAATGTAAATACACTTTCCTTCACTACCACCCATATTTGCTGGAAGCTTGAAAAAAAGAAAATGATTATATTGGATTGGATTGGATTGGAAAATCGGATAGAAATTTATTGTTTTAATGTACCTGACAAGTTATTGCTAGCGTATGGCACAATTGACTTTTTCCTGTTCTAAATTCGCCAAATATTTCAGTTATTGAACCTGTTTCAATTCCACCTAAAATATTATATATATATCTTGACATTATTAATATCAGAACATTATTAATATTATTCACAATTTTTTTCCTTACCTCCTAGAAGATTATCGAGTTGATTAGATCCAGTCGTTATATAGATCAGTTCATGTCTTCGTTTATGAATTTCTGCAGCAGGTTGAAATCCCAGGTTTACCAATCTACCAACTATTATTATTATTTTATCATTGTTATTATTATAACTTATTATCAATTATTTAATCAAATCAAAAAAATTTATATTGTATTGTGCCTTCGGCTAATATTTTTTCAACTTTTGCTTCTGAAATTCCTTTGATACTCAGTAAAGCTTTTTTAGGTGAATATGCAACTGATTCAACAGTGTGGAAACCATTCTCAGTAAGTTTTTTAATATCAGAAGAGTTTATTCCAAATTCCTTTGATTTTTTTTTTTTTTTTATGAACGTAATTATTAATAATAAATTTTTTTTTTGCAAGAAAAAAAAATAAATAAAAAGTCACATACTTCTAGTTTTTTAACTGGTACATATCCACATCCATACTCTTCCACCACTTCCTCGAATGCTTCTTCTGCTTCTTTAGTCTCTGTCATTGTAAATTAATAAATAAAATTATATTAAAAGTTTCGATGATAAATAAAAAGATTTTTTGAAGAATTTAAATGAATAAAATGATTAAACTTTTTTTTTTTTTTTTTGAATTCAAAAGTTTAAATAATACTGTAATAAGTGAACAATGAATGACGCGTCTATATTATACATATTGGTACTACACCGATCTTTTGTTATAATTAATTACATTTTCATTTAAACTTCTTGGAAAAATAAATTAAGCATCAAAAGTCAATATAATAAATAATATTTATCCCAAAAAAACTTTTTATTAATTCAATTCAAACGGGAAAGTAAAAGGTCTGATAAATTTTCCGTTTCACGAGTAGAAGTAGCAGCAATAATAAGGATAAATTTGATAAGTCTATTATTTCCTTATTAAATGATTTCTTATTTTGTTTCTCATACTAATAATACCAAGGCTTGATCTTTGCTGATCTTTCCAATATTTTATTTAGTTACGCGTTAATTAACATTCCTTAATTTATCCATTGACAGAATTTATTATTTAAATAAAATTTAACTAACGAATTATTATTCGAAAGAAATAAAACCACTTCCACAATGTAGATATTTAAATTGATAAATATTTAAATTAATAATTTAATTAATTTAACTAACTTTAACCTTCGTTACAATATTCACTTTCATATAATAATATTGATTCTTTCGTTAATGATCTTAATAATAATAATTATTATTATTATTATTATTATTATAATGCAATGATTAAACCTACTTTTCTTTTACTAATCTTTCAATATTGGTGCTAATATTACTTTATGTCCATTTCATTAAGTGCATATACAATCAACTTATTTTTTGCACAATAATGGCTATATATCGTGTATATTATATATACATTGTTATTAGTGTTGTATATTTGATTTGATGATTGTTAATTTAGTACATGCTTTCCAACATTGAGAATTCTTTCCAATATTTCTGGTAGTCCAATTTCTTTGGAAAAGTATTTCATGTGGCTCTTCTAAATCTTTTTCCTCGAATGAATTTATATCCGCTCTCTTGCACTGACCAATGTTGCTCCTCTATCTGCTATAGATCCAACAAGATCTAGAAATAGGAATTGAACATGAAAAAAGATATTTAATAGGTGATCATGCTTGACATACGTCATTAACAACCGATTTAATCCCTCTAACATAGATACAACTGCCTCCGGGTTATCCAAACCCAACCGCAATCCGGGTATGGTCCGTGTAAAATTGCGCGACCCGGCCCATTTCAGATACAAAACAATATTGCCAATTTTTTGTAAGGTAAACTTTTTTAAACTTTAAATTTTTGTCTCTCTAAAATTTTAACATGGAATTTTTTAACGATTGCACTAACACATAATAATTATACAAAAAAATATATCGATTCGTAGCTTAAATCTGAGGATTCTGGATATAAAATTATGTCTATCCATGTTTTCTAGAACTTTATCAGTTAAAAAAAATTTTAATGTAAAGTTTTACATAATAATATGCTTCAAAATTTCTACATGTAATAATTTAAAATCTGATATAATTTTTATTAGGAACTAAATTTACGGGGAAATTATTTTCGTAACACACTCACTGTGTACACAGTGCAATTTATAACAATAAAGCTATAACCATGATGTCCAGGTGAAAGTATGTTGGTGTGAGAAGCCTTTCTTTAATTGGTAGGATGATTGCCAATATCTTATCTTCATTGTTGTTAGCATTTTCAACTTTTAATATAGGCAGCGGAAGAAAGCCGTTGTATTTCCAGGATCACAATAGTTGGAGGAGAAATTGAAGGATCCGTTAATAGTGTGGTGCCGTATGTTAATTATAGATAAAGTAAATGGGGTTTTCTATATTTTAATAAAATAGCATTTGTAAAGAACAATTTACTTACTATTTCATTGGAAAAGCGTGCATTTAGAACTGACAACATTTCTTCTAATTGCCTAAGAAATAAATAAATCCTATTTTTTGAATTAAAAATTTTCTATAAAACCTACCCATTGGAGAATTTTCTTTTTTCTAGCCTCGACAAGATAATATGGAAATCAGAATTATTTCTTTTTTGGGAAAGTGTATCTTCAGAATTGACGACACTTCTACTTGTTTAAAAGATAAAAAATAAATGTAAATTTTTCTATAAACCTGCCAGTTTCTTTTTGTTGCCGTTTCCTTTTAAAAAATAATTAAAAACCATATTGTTATGATTATATGGCCTTTTTTATCCAAATGAATCAAAAATAAAGTTTGGTTACTGCATAGTAGTTACATAAATAAGTCCAAAAAAGAAATGATTCTTTGATTTCGGAGTTATTAATATATACTTATTAATACTTATTGATCGAGAATACATTGTCTA